ATTATTGCCTGGACCAATCGTTGGACCAGACACAATCGTGGAGCATGGCCCTCCAATAAGAATGGCGGATCCTGTCGGAACCGCATTCCTTGTCCCTCATACGGACCGAAGAAAATCTCCAGTATAAAAGGCCGATTACTCTGCTTGAGAGGTAAGCTATTCTGCCCCGACCATCTACCTCCATACTCTAGATTATCTCACTAACTTGACCTTCAGAGTGTCTTTCCGGGACCTCCTCCGGAGAGCGGTTGACGCCTCTTCTTTCTTTGTGGCCTTTCAGGTTCCATTCCTACGACCATCTCCCTGTAGCTTAGGTGGTTCGGAGCCAGGTCGCATCATGAACTATAAATAAACTGTTATTTTTAAAGTCTTCTGTTGCCGGTTTTTGTGAAAAAAAAATTTATATTTCGTATGAAAACCCAACACATGCAACAGAGATAAGATGATCCTTCGAGGTAAAAGACTCAACCCTAGAACGGTTTTGGAGTCAAACAAGAGCTGCGCAATATGGTCAGATCCATCACTCTGAGATTATTTAACCTTTTCCATACGTGACTTAGCATATTCACTTAGGGCGTGTTTGGCAAAAAATAGTTGTTAGCTGGAAGCGGGTAGAGGTTAGATGGTAGCGGGTAGTTGGTTTAGCATGTAGCAGGTAGCTGGTAGCGGGAAGCTGTAGCTTTTATTTTTATATGAATGTTTGCAAAAGTAGATGGGAGCTTTTGAAATATATAAAATTAAATAAAAGGACAATTGATTAAAAATAAATAAATATCAAATATATTTTTAAGGGTAATTATGGAAATTGATTTCAAAAGCTCAGGAGCGTTTTGTTAAACGCTACATGAAGTAGCTTTTAGAATCGGAGCGTTTTGTCAAAACTAAAAGCTAAACGCTCGTACTGCCAAACGAAGCTTTTGTTTAAACTAGAGCGTTTTATCAAAAGCTAAAAGCTAGAAGCTCCCAAACACTTCCAAAAGCTCCGTGCCAAACACGCCCTTAGTAGTTGATTCACATCGCTAAGAGTCCCACAAAGCACAAAGCAAGCAGCATTCATGCAACGGAAAATCTAACCAGCATACACTAATCAAGCCATTCTATCACTTATCTGAAAACCATAATAGCATGCAATTCTAAAGTCCATACAATCAGGCATATAAAGACAGCTCTCCTATCATAAACTCCTGAGCAGATCCTTAGCCCTAATCTAGCATGCAATTCTCATAATCATCTATATATCAATATGTATTGGTATTCTGGGAACCACTTACTTGATCTCGGCCGATTGCACACATCACCCCCTTTCTTTGATTAGAAAACCTTTTAATAAAACATTTATTTTATGAAAATTTTCACCAACCCTCAGTTTGAGTCTAGGCATACCCAAGAGTATGCCCGAATCCCTCAAACCAAGGCTCTGATACCAACTTGTAACATCCCAAAATACGAGGGTAAAAATTTCATTTTTAAAACAATCAAAACACCCATTTATTATTTAAACAAATCCTTAAAGATATTTCATAATAAAAACAATTATCAGAGTACAATCCCAAAATCTCAATGTTGTGGAAAATATAGGTGTATGCGCTGCGATCAAATTAGGCCCTTCCCTTTCGAACCGGAAGGACCTGAAACCATAAACAATAATTGTAAGCACAAAGCTTAGTGAGTCCCCCAAATACTACATACCATACATAACATATGAGTCATACATATCATAAATATCCAACATTCAATAGGGGTGCTATGTGCCAACCATAGTCTTGCCATTATGCCTCGAGCCATATCATGGTCTTCCTTGCCAGGCGGGCGGCCAACCCTGGGTCTTACAGACAAGTTCCAGGAGCCACCTCCTGTTCTTCCATGCAAGCATCACAAAGACAACTAGCATATAGTCTACAACTACTTATCTACTTAACTGCGAGAGTCCACACTCTGGTCTTACATACAGATTTGCCAAGAGCCACTTCCTGGCTTTCATACGAATGCCAAGGGCTGCCCCTGGTCTTCCTATAATACATAAATCAATAGGTCGGTATTGGTGATTTGGACCCAAAAGTATAGTGAGGAGACTCACCTCGTATTGTTGAATCACACTGATAATCTCTGACTGCTGATCCGACAATCCCCGAACTATCAATATCAATAACACCCAATTAACATTTGGAGTCGAATCCAAAACCAACAATCCATATATGGGGTAGAAAGACCATTTTACCCCTCACCTAGTTTGGTCCAAGACTAAGGCCCAAACTCACAATAAAAAAGGCCCACAAACCATATAATCATCCAAAGCCCACTTATGCCCAATTTCCAAATTGGGCCCAAACACTTACATGGGCCTTACCCTAAATCCCATTAACTTTTTCCTAATCCAAAAACACTTGTTCTCAAATGGCCCAACAATGCCCCAAGCAACCAAGCCCAAAAGATAGCCCAAACCCGAAGCCCAACTTTACGAGGCCCAATAGACCGAGTACGCGGGGCATACTTAGCACGTACGCGCAACGTACTCGCTTGGAGGCTTGTACGCTAAGCGTACCTGCTATTACGCCTAGTGTACTCACCTCTTCATCCCAAAGATTGATTTAACACTTAATCCCTTAAGACAAAGCTCCAAAACATAGATCTAACTTCCTTGAGCTGGATATTACGTAAAGTTGCTAACTTTACGTTCATGTATGACTAATGAAGCTCTTAAGCTCAAAAGAGACTTTATAAGTGACTTAATGCATGAATGACACCAAAAATCTCATAAAGCTTGCACCTTTATGCTCAAGGAGACCAAAACAAAGTCATATATAAAAGAACAAGCCCTTAAACGACCTAACTTTCCTTCCCCAAAAAAGGGACCCAAAGCAATAACAAACTAACTATGAAGAGATCTAAAACATATACAAGCCAAGATGCAAACTTGATACTCAAAAAGCTTTCCCACAAGATGATGATTCTGGATCCATAACCTTTTCACCAAGCAAGGCAACTTCAAGCTTCTCTACTCTTTCACAAAGGCAAAAAATGGGCACCAAAGTCTTCTTAATAACTCAAGAACACCACCAAGAGGCTATGGGGGCCGATTTAGGGTTTTAGGAGGTTTGGGGGCTAGTAAAGAGGCCAACCCTAAAGACTTAAGATGCTTAAATAGGGTACAAATGCTCAAAATTAGGGTTTCTTGCGCCCCTCGTACGCCCACGTACGAGGCCGAGGCTTCGCGATCCTTCCCACTCGGTATGCTAAGCGTACTACATTGTACGCCCAACATACAACTCTTCGCACCAGTGCACCCCGTGTACTCCCTAAGTACGCCCCGCGTACTAGGGTTTCCTCTTAAACCCTAAAATACAACGAAGGCCATAACTTCTTTGTTATAAATCCGATTTCGACAATCCTTATATCCATGAAAAGGTAATGAGAATCTCTACACTTTATCAACTCATACTTTCCATAAAATATCCCGAAAAAAAAATCCAATTTCCATAAAAGCCTGCTGTTATTTTACCAAAATACCCCTTGGCTCCCAAAACCAAACCCGAACACCCGAATCATCTACATCACATCACCCACACCCAAATGGGTAACGATTCGGGACAAAGCATTACAAAATCACATACAAGTTTTTTTAAGGCATTTTACTACCTTCTTTAACACTAAGATCAAGCTTTCCGACTCTAATCTAACATCCCCAACTCAATTAATCAAAAACACCATTTAGACCTACTAGCTTAAAAATGGTTAAATTGATTACTTCATGAGCTTTCAATCATCAATCTAAGCCATAAACACCCTTGACCATCACTTGATCCTAATTCCTTCTCGAAATCGCCAGAGCTCAGTCCTATAGGTCTTGGGTGGTGTTTATGACGAGAATGAAAGGCTTACAACCTGATTCCTGAGGTGTAACCATGCTGCGGTTTCATGTTCACTGCGCCGCGACTTTGACCTCAGTCATTGGACACATAAATGATTGCCACCGAAACATCCCAAAAATACGGTCCAAAATTTCATTTTTAAATCATTAATAAAACCATAGTTAACAATTCATCACATAAAATCATAAGTCATGTATCTCAAATGCAACATCCAAAAATACAACCCAAAAATCATTTTTAAAGCATTATTAAAACTATCATTTCATTACCAAAGTATAAAATCATAAACTATATGTTTTAAAATCTCATAATATCTATCACATATCAAATCTCATGTCAAATGTCATATCAAAATACCAGAGTAAAACTCCCAGGCTGAAGACTTGGTGTGTGCCATGCGATCATCTCGAGCCCTTCCCTTTGCTAGTGGAAGTACCTGAAACCAAAACTGAAAACTGTAAGCACAAAGCTTAGTGAGCTCCCCAAACTACCACATACCATACACATATATCATGCAACTAAGAGATACGAGCCGCCCACACTCGCTGACTTGCGAGATACGGGCCCCGCCCACACTCAACTACTTCGAGATACGGGCCCCGCCCACACTCGGCTACTATGAGATACGGGCCCCGCCTACACTCGACTATTATGAGATGCGGGCCCCGCCCACTGTAACACCCCATTTATTAAATAAATAATAAAATTATAATGAGCGAGTAGTAGCCCAAAAATCAATAATTATATAGCAGGGTGTTGGCCTCGAGGAGCTAATTGTCACAGTTTTAGAAGTTGGGGGTTTAAAAGTGTACGTTCCGAGATTTATTTAGCAAAGATTCTTAGAAGACAGGGGGTGTTTGGTAAATTCCGGATTTAAATTGAAATAAAATCTTGAAGAAAGGGGCTATATGGTAAATATGGGACTTGAATTGTTATGAATTTGGATGTTGGGGGTTATTTTGTAAATTGTAGGATTTAAATTGAAATGGTTTGGAGGGGGGGACTGAAAGTGTAAAAATGATTGCAATGTTTGGAAATGACACGGGACTTAAACCCGTGCCTTCCCCCTCGTCGTCGGATATCAAAACCCTAAACCTAGAGACCTTCTTTAGCCGCCATGGATAAATCTCATCAGCCGCCACCCTTATACCTCCCTCTCCCAGCCGCTCCCCGTTGCCGGTGATGACAAGCTCGGCTGCCGCTTGCAACCGTGCCAATGGAACGCCATTGGGACTTCCCGACGTCGTGGTTAGAAGAAGCAAACCCCCCTCCGGTGAGCACCTCAGTCGCCATGCGTGAGCACCCCAGTCGCAGTCGCCATTTGCTTGCGCTTTTCCGACCAGCCGAGCCACCGAGCGTAACAACTTTTATCTCCGGATGAGGGCAGTTGACGGCGTGGTTTCCGGGTGTGTGTGCGTCACCATTTTTCCTCCATCCTCCTCCTTCTTCTTCTTTTCTGATGTGCTCATGGTCCGACTCGACTGTTCCGGCGTCGTTCCGACCATCCTTCGCCATCATTTGCCCAAAGACGTGTGGCCGCCGCCCACTCCGTGCAGCTGAGGTGCGACGTTGCTGCCGCGTCTCGGGGATTCTGCCACCGCCAACGCCTTAGGTGGGTGGCTGTGTTACTACTCCAGAAAAAAGGTGTGGTGTGTTTATTGTAGTTTGGGTGTGGCTGTATTTCTTTTGATTAGAGTGTTTTGTTGGCCGAAAAATGAAGAAAAACCACACCACCATACGTGTCGTGGCTGCCACCCCGAGCCACCGCCGGCCACCACTAGGGTGGCTGGTGTGTTAGAGTAGTTAGTGTGTGTGTGTGTTTATTTGTGGATTAAAAGCTTGTAACTGTAATTAGCATTGAATAATAAAAATAATAATAACCACCACCGTAAGGTGGTGGCCGCCGCCGTGAGCCGCCATTGACCACCACTACCCGAGGTGGGTAGTGGGTGGTGCCCCACAAGCAAAACCCTAATGGGCTTAAGGATTAGTTTTGGGCCTATTGGGCCATGTTTGAGTGGAAACCCTAATTGTGAGTAATTGGGCCTTAGACTTATTGGACCCACTTTTGGGCTATTGAGATTGGATTGTGTATTAAGCCCAATTTCTCCATATCATTGATCTAGTAGAGTAAAGGACTTAATGGATTAAGTCCTTAATGGGTTAAGTAAGAAAACTTAACCCTAATCGTCATTTTATGTGAAACCCTAGTTTCACTTGGGCCTTGAGTTGGACCTTTCGATTGGGTTTTGGTAATTGGTTTATTAATGGGCCATCCAAGAATAATAAAATGGACTAGAGTAATTAGTTGGGCTTTAGGGTAAGGCCCATATGAAGGATTGGGCCCATTTGGAAAATTGGGCCATAGATAGGCCATAGTTTGGGCCTAGATGGTTGTATGATAATGGGCCCTTAGAATGAGACATGTTGGACTGGACTGAACATTGGGCCTTAAGGGAAGTCCATGTAGAGGTTTGGGCCCAATTTGGAAAGTTGGGCCATATGTTGGGCTTTGATCCCTAGTTGACTTTGGGCCTATGGATTGGGCCTTGGGCTGGGTAAGCCAAGCTAGGGGTAATGTAGTAATTATCCAAAGTATGTATTTATAGTTATGTAGTGGAACCTATTATTAATTGGGTGTTATTTTGATATTGACAGATCGGGAATCTGTCTTCCAGCAGCTATGGTTTTGTCAGCAGGACTTTAGCAGTGTGATGTGAGTTTCCTTCCAGTAGGAACGGGTCTACGGCCACAATGTCGGCCCGTTTAGATAAAAGTAGTTCCGGACTGCGGTCTGATGCCGGGGTGGTCCCGAGAGAGTAGTTCAGGTATGCATGATGTCTTTGTGATTCAGGCATGTTTATGTGTTATGTGTTCCGGACTGCGGTCCGATGCAGTATGCAGTAATGTGTTTTGTTATAGTTATGATTATGTTATGCTATGTTCAGTCAGTTCCGGACTCCGGTCCGATGCAGTGGGCAAGACCCTAGTTAGTTCCGAACTTCGGTCCGATATGCAGTGGGCAAGGCCCTAGTTAGTTCCGGACTTCGGTCCGATGTAGTGGGCGAGGCCCTAGTCAGTTCCGGACTTCGGTCCGATGCAGAGGGCGAGGCCCTAGTCAGTTCCAGACTTCAGTCCGATGCAGTGGGCAGGCCCAATATGTGCTTTATATGTTACTGTATGGTATGTGGTAGTTTGGGGAGACTCACTAAGCTTCGGGCTTACAGTTTTCAGTTTTGGTTTCAGGTACTCAGTTTTCAAAAGATGAGCTCGGGAAGATTGCAGTGCACACACCATTTATTCAGCCTGGGATGTTTATACTCTGATATACATGACAGTTGTTATATTATTCTGAGATACATGTTGTGATTTTTCTATGACGTATGATGACTATGGTTTTATTACTGATTTAAAACGAAATTTCTGACTGTATTTTTGGGATGTTTCAAGTTGGTATCAGAGCCTTGGTTTGAGGGATTCGGGCACACTCTCGGGTGTGTCTGGACTCAAACTGAGGAATTGGGATAGTAATTTCAAAAGAAAATCAATTTTTGTAAGAAGGATTTTGAGGAAAAGAAAAGTGTTTTAGAAAAAAGCGAAACGAATTTTTAGAAAGAAAAGAACTTTGAAAAGAGAAAAGGGTGTGGTGCATGTAATCAGCCGAGCTCAAGTAAGTACTCCCAAATTAACCATACAAGTTATGTTATGATATGAGTATCAGCTTTATGAGAACTGGATGCTAGATTAGGACTAAGGATCTAGGAAGGATGCCTTATGTGCCTATTGTATGAGTATCAACTTTATGAGAATTGCATGCTAGATTAGGACTAAGGATCTAGGAAGGATGCCTTATGTGCCTATTGTATGTATATCAGCTTTATGAGAATTGCATGCTAGTTTAGGGCTAAGGATCTAGGAAGGATGCCTTATGTGCCTGTTATATGTGTACCTTTATGAGAACTGCATGCTAGTACAGATTAGTCAGTATGATAGCCAGAGTAGTATATGCTTGATTATGTGTACTCAATGCCCGAATGCTGCTTGCTTTGTGCTTTTAGGAGTTCTAGTTGTCTTTCACTAACTAGTAAACGAATATATTAAGTTACAAATTGCAAGGACTAAATAATTTCAGAAGGTTAGGTCTAGCTCTATTTCGCAGCTCTTGTTTGAGTCCAACTGTTGTAAGGTAGGATCTCTCATTCGAAGAATTATCTAGTCTGAGTAATATGTAATAGTATTCGCGAGCTAGTTAGGGGAAGAAAGCAGGGACTTCTTATGCAGCTGATGGCGGAGAGTGGGTTGGCGATTACCCTAGGGCAAGCCTAGGATGAGATTAGCATGAGTCAGCAGTAGTAGTAGAAGGGACTTGGTGGAGTCGAGGCAGTAGTCTTGAGGAAAGTACGGATAGATGTGGAAGGTAGGTATGGGCCCGTACTACTGAAAGCAGAGGATACGTACTCGAATCAAGGAAGACTGAGATGAACCAGGGAACTTGTAGTGTGAGAGATCCCTCGAGTTTGGATGAGTATTGTGGTGTTAGTGATGGTATATTACCGAGTATAGTGACGCTACGTGGTAAACCAGATGGTAGTTCTGGTGTCGACGCGGGGGATCATGCTCGGACTCTATAGCCGGGCAGCTTGATGGTCAGATGAGGGAGTTTATTCTATCTGAGAGTACACACAGTATCATTGACCAGACTCCTGTGATCTTCAGTATGATCAAGGAGGGCATTTTACAGAGTTGTGATGGGAAGATGAGTGCATTCTGCACTGAGATAGCAGTCAGGACAAGGATGTGTACACTGATGACGATTCGGAAGTTCAGAGCTTGAGAAGCTTCCAGATTATCATGGGGCTAGGTACCCCATTGCTAGCAGCAGGTGATTGGCAGATGTTGCCAATATTTTTGTACCAGCCGTTGGTCTCGAAAGGGGACAAGACCCGATTTATTTCCTATATCCTGGAGATAGAGCACGCGATTGATAGGAAGAGGTTGGTAGTGAGTTGAGTGTTGATGCGGTTGATGCTATGTCATGAGATGATTTAAAATCATATTTCGGGCAGAGTGTGCCAGGCGATTGAGGCGCAACAGTTGGCGAAAGAGTCGTTAGATCTCCACCAGACGACTGAGACTATGGCAGAGATCACTGCCAATTCTCGGGAAAGAGCTTATATGGTGCCACAGTATGCATCGGATGAGGAAATGAAGAAGGTATGTTATCAGAGCATACTGTAGAATGATAGCAGGGAGATTGTGAGTATCTCGGGGTGCAAGACCCTGAATGATATGACTTCAAGAGCTCGAGAGCGGGATATTGACTTAGAGCACACTAGGAAGAGGGAACCAGATCAGTTGCTTATAGTGAGGGGTCTCGAGAGGAGACCGTAGATTTCAGATCAGCTCTGAGAGGCCAGCGGGGTCAGATTCGGTGCAGCACTTGTGAAACTGCACAAGGGAGCCTTTTGTTCCAAGGGTTGAGTAAGTGTAACCCTGAGTTATCCTCGGTTTGTGTCTGAATTATATTTTCAAGAGATGTCATATGCCAATTGCATGCCGAGAAGCATTAGCGAATAGTGATAGAGCAATTCCCCAGATTACGGGATTGGGAAAGTACAGCGTCATCTTGGTTTATTCCAAGACTGAGGAGCAGCACGAGAAGCACCTGAGGGAGGTGCTAGAGACTTTGAGGAGGGAGAGAATTTTCGCAAGGTTCTTCAATTGTGAGTTCTGGTTGCGCGGTGCAATTTCTTGGGCACCTTGTCAATCAGAAGGATATTCTAGTCGATCCGGCCAAGATAGAGGCCGTGATGCAGTGTGAGATTCTGAGGTCTCCAATTGAGATTCGGAGCTTCTGGGTCTAGCAGGTTATTACCGGAGATTTATTCAGATTTTTTTTTGAAGTTGTGTGATCTTTTGGATTAACTGGTGTGTTGAAACCCTAGCAATGGTAAGCGTGGTTTCTAGCAGATTGGTCATGGGTGTAAGAAGGATTGAGAATCCTTCCAGTATTGTGTGTTGTGGAACGTTAGTTGAATCAAGGGGGAGAATCATCCAGGATTCAGAAGTAGGAGCAGTTTTGAAACTGGGATAAGTTTCGCATCCTTGTGTGGAAGAAAGACAGCCCAAGCGGCTGTATGGTTGGAGGATAGTGTGGGATGGAAGTTCGGAAAAACTTGCCAATAAGGAGATCGCGTTCCCGTAATGTTTGCTAGCAAGCCTTAGGGAATCAGGTTGGGGATTCCAGTCAGGACATGAGTTCAGCTGAGTGCGGGTCAAGCGCGTGTTCGATCCAATATAGATTGTGTTAGAGTGTTGTAAGTAAGGGTGTAGCCGTAGCGTAGCATTCACTAGCAGCCAGATAGTGTTAGAGTGTTGTAAGTCTGCGGGTGTAGCCGTAGCATTCACTAGCAGTCAGGTAGTGTTAGAGTATGTAAGTCTGCGGGTGTAGCCGTAGCATTCACTAGCAGCCAGATAGTGTTAGAGTGTTGTAAGTCTGTGGTTGTGTAGCCGTAGTATTCACTAGCAGTCAGATAGTGTTAGAGTGTTGTAAGTCTGCGCGTGTAGCCGTAGCATTCACTAGCATCCAGATAGTGTTAGAGTGTTGTAAGTCTGCGGGTGTAGCCGTAGCATTCACTAGTAGTCATATAGTGTTAGAGTGTTGTAAGTTTGCGGGCGTAGCCGTAGCATTCACTAGCAACAGATAGTGATAGAGTGTTGTAAGTCTGTGGGGTGTAGCCTTAGCATTCACTAGTTGGTAGATATCGTGAGTGCGTTGTTAGGACGCGAGAAGGACAGTAGTACCCACCAGTTCGGGTGTAGCAGTGAGGATATGGAAATCCACGGATTGATTTCAGAATTACCCAGACGGATTAGACCTGGTTAAGCCAGTGATAAGACTGTAGAAGCGCCACTACAGTATGAGAGCAAGGAAGTAGTGGACTTCTTAAGGTCATTTAATAATAAGGCAGGCTACAATTGGTCATGTAACAATCGCATTTAGCCGTGGTTTGGACATCAGGATTCAATGTACAGACCCGATCGGGTGGATCAGGAGGTTGTTAGAGCCTCAGTGACATGATAACTAGTGTCAACTAGTTCCAGAGAAGGATTTCATTCAGAAGTCGCGTGAGGCGACTAAGTAGGGAGTCCTTTGGCTCCGCAGCCGGGCTGTAACCCGG